AGTTTGTACTCTGAATGACTCTCAGCTACTACCAAAGAAAAATAATTGAGCTCAGTATCTGAAAAAAAAACACTGAGGTGAAGCCACGTGTGTGCAGGCTAACGTCCTTTAGCTGTGGCAACCATCTTGAATTTGTCTGACTCCAGAATGTAAACCGTTTCAGATGGATAGTCAGACTTTATAATCTGAAACTCCTATCATTAAAAAAATGTGTTCATTGGATGATGAAATGTTTTGCTAACAGAGCCTTTACTCCAAAAGGTACTGTCAAAGGTTTAAGCATGTTTTGAAAATGCATGTATTGTTAATACATTGCGATGTATTGAAATCACAGAATGTGTTTGAGACAATAGTGAGCTTTTTTCTTGTAAAAAAAAAACAACATAATAATTAAACAAAAAAACCTGTTGAGCTATAGTATTTTTTTGTTTTTGTTTTGTTTGTTTGATAAGGTCACTTGGCTGTAGCAGCCATCCTGAATGGAACTGAGTTCCAACGGTAATCAATTTTAGAACTTTTTCAAATTCTTCAATGAAATCTGTTCAATCGTTCACGAGATATTGTGCTAACAGAATGAAAGCATTGACTTCAATAGTTAATGACAAACATTTAAACATTTGCAGATCTCACTCTTAGCACTCGGAATATAAGATGTGGATCAGTCGCCGCTGTTAAATTCTGTAGCATGCCAGAGGAACTGGTCAGGCTGCAAGGGATGCTGGGTAATGTTGTAGTATTTGTGTGATTATTAAAATGTTTTGTTACAATGGTTGGAGTGTGGAAATACCATGTTTTTCCTGACTATAAGGCACATTTAAAATCCTTTAATTTTCTCATAAATCAACAGTGAGCCTTATAATCTGGTGCGTCTTATAGTCTGAAAAATACAGTTCTGTTTGTCCTGTTCAGGTTCGAGTTGAAATCTGTGCTGAAGTCTCTGTTGATGGCTGTAAAACTGATACCATGAGTCTCAGGTTGTTCCCAGTTTGTTTAAAGGGAAAGCACTTCCTGACGAGGAGAAGAAAGGTGTGTTCAGTAATAAAGAGTGACATCACACAAGCACAAATCCATCGTGTATTCTTAGCAGCACCTGACAGATGCTGCAATACAATACATACAATTTGAGCTCAATAACTGCTAAACTGGCTGTTACAGCATTTTTGTGTTTGCTAAAAGTGATTTGCTTTGGTAGCCATCTTGAATCTCACGGACTCCAAAAGTTAAATAGTCATAGATGTTTATTTAATGATTACTTTCTGAAAGGTTCATTAAAGCTATTCGGTGATTCAGAATATGTGTATTTGACTGTTTGTACAAGCAATTCAACACACTGACATGCAAAAACATAACTCTGCCATCACTTTGGCAACAAAAATAAATAAATGTAACCAACAACCAAGAAAATGTATGCTAGTAGTTTGTTTTCCAATAATTATCTCAAATTCTTTCAAAAGTGAGTCTTACACAAGGTCGGACTTGAAATATCACATTTTGAGTCCTGCCAACAAATCAATATTTGCACAAGTGCTTGGAGTATTTTCTGTCAAGATTGTTTATTTGTTGATTTTTTTTTTTTTTTAATTAGGAAAGTAGTTGCTAAAGCCTAAAATTAATGAAATGGAAAGCTCTACGCTAAATTTAAATAAAATTAAAAATCCACATAAATTTGAATGTTAACAAAAGGAAAGTTAAATATTCTAAATTGTATGAAAGTGAGTACTCTGTGAGTACGGGATTGGGGGCCCGTTGCTACGGGCTGTTTGGTCCATATAGAAGCAGTGCGAGAGTTCGGTTTGCATGGCCAGTTGTAAGTCGGACTCCTTCAAGGTGGAAGTTGGACTCCACCAGGGCTGCCTGTTGTCACCGATTCTGTTCATAACGTTTATGGACAGAATTTCTTTATGCAGCCAGGGGGAGGAGGGATTCCAGTTCGGTGGTCTCAGGACTCCATCTCTGCTCTTTGCAGATGATGTGGTCCTGTGGCATCATTGTGCCGTGATCTTCAGCTCTCAATGGTGCGGTTTGCAGCCGAGTGTGAAGCGGCTGGGATGAGGATCAGCACCTCCAAATCTGAGGCCATGGTCCTCAGTCAGAAAAGGGTGGACTGCTCTCTTCGGGTTGAGGGTGAGGTTCTGCCTCAAGTGGAGGAGTTCAAGTATCTCACGGTTTTGTTCACGAGTGAGGGAAGAACGGAGCGTGACATTGACAGATGGATTGGTGCTGCGTCTGCAGTATTGTGGACTCTGTAGCGGTTCATTGTGGTGAAGAGGGAGCTGAGCTGTAAGGCAAAGCTGTTTACCAGTCAGTCTATGTTCCTACCCTCACCTATGGCCATGAACTCTGGGTAATTACTGGAAGAATGAGATCGTGGATACAGGCGGTTGAAATGAGTTTCTTCCACAGGGTAGCTGGACTCTCCCTTAGAGATAGGGTGAGAAGTTCAGTTATCCTGGAGAGACTCGGAGAAGAACCGCTGCTCCTCCACATCAAGAGGAGTCAGCTGAGGTGGTTCGGGCATCTGGTAAGGATGCTTCCTGGGCACCTCCTTAAGGAGGTGCTTCGGGCATGTCTGACTGGGATGAGACCCCGGGGAAGACCCAGGACATGCTGGAGAGACGTTGTCTCTCAATTGGCCTGGGAACACATTGGGGTCCCAGAAGAACTGGAAGAGGTGGCTAATCTCGTTCCACCACATGTACCGCATGAGATGCGAATGACAAATAAATCTCTCTGACTCTGTGGAAAGAGATGTCTGGACCTCTCTGGTCAAGCTGCTGCCCCCGCAACCTGACTTCAGAAGAAGCAGAAGAGGATGGATGGATGGATGGATGGATGGATGGATGGATGGATGGATGGATGGATGGATGGATGGATGGAAGTTCCAAATACCAAAGATCAAAGCACCCATCTCATGAACGAGTTGAGGTTGTTTATGCCTGAACGGTTAGATATAAACAAGAAAACAATAGTTTGTATACTGACTCAGCTCTTACACAATAAATAATTTGTTTATTTGAATAAATGCATGCCAGACTTTAAATATCCTCTGCTCTTTAAAGACAGAACGACGGTTCAGTATGATGGCAGAAGGTAATGTGATGCCATACTTGTGTAACTAGTTAACCATGTTCCATACAGGATACTATACTGAAATAATATTTGACATTTAGATATGAAGTATTAAAATCAATTCAAGATTATTAAGCTATTTGACAGTTCTGCATTTAAAAACTCATCTGAAGATATTTCTAAAACTCCCACAGTGCTTTGTTAGTGGGTACTGCCTATATTACATATTTCAGATCCATCTTGTTCATTCTGCTCCCCGTCCACATTATTAATTCTCATGTCCTTAAGAATATGTTCTGCCCTTATTGCGTCTGCTATGACCCATACCATCTTCTCTTATGAAGTTGATGAAGTGAGGCTTTAAAGCCTAATGTTTTGCACTTCATGTTAATCGCTGTGAATGTGTGTCAGCTAAATGTCTCCAATGTAAAATGAGATTGGACTGAAAGCAGCTAATAGAGCCATGGCTGTGATTAGGAGCTGCTGCAGTGAACTGTGGTGGTGGTTCGTATCAGCGGGGACCCACCGGCTCTGTTTGCCTGCTGACATGATAGCATTTCCTACAGGAAAGACCCTAATTAACTGTTGTCATTATTTGTTTTTTTTTACCTGCAGCCATTTCTAATTTCCTGTGTCTGCTCAGCATCAAATCTGTTTGTCCCAGTTTCCATCTTTTACATACAGTAACATTTAGATTTTTCATTTCTGTGCATATTTTTTAACTTTTTTTTTTTTTTTTTTACACTTCCGGTGTCGTCTTAAAATGATTTTCCTCCTAATTTTGCATTGATGTACTTCTGTTTTATCCATTATGGTCTTATTTTCTATCAGTCTTGAGTTTCTTCACATTGTGACTGTTGGTATAGATGAGGTTAGAATTTGTTTGGGACCTCTCCAAAAACCAGTAGCAGGTAGTAGTAGGCTTCTCAATAAAAAAATAAATACAATTATTTTATTTTTTTTAGTGCAAATGGGAGTGTTTGAAGGCTTGATCTGCTTAAGAATAGTCTGCACAAAAATAAAATAAATTTAGCAAGAACTGCATGTCCTCCGTAGGCTTGAATTTTCTGTTTATTATCGTCCTGTACTTGGGATGCTGCAACATGTGGTTAGTCAACGGAAAGTACTGGCAATCCCCTCATTCATCACTTTAGTTAAATTAAAACCAAGAAAACTGTTGTTTTAAGAAAGCATCATGGGATGCAATAATTTTTATGGCCTTGTTACTTGTAAATTTGTCTCCTATGTATTTAACTTTCAGTATAATATATGCTTAATATGTTTTTCTTTTCTAAAATATGTTAATGTAACAAATCCATTAGTTGTGTGGCAAAGACTTGCACTCATTGCTTAAAAACAAAGTCGCAGCAATCGTGTTTTTGCTCATATCTGTGTGCGCATGAGTTTTTGTATCAACAGCATATTGTCGCATGAACCATTAGTGTTTTTAATAAAACGTTCATAAAGTAATCATTGCATACACATCTGCAGCTGATCAACCTTTAGGTGGTAACACAATTCAACATAGATGCCACGCCTAATCAACCATATTAAACATAAAAGTCTATAACACAGAAAATTTTAATTTAATCTGGTCGTTGCCGAGAGTCTTCTGCAACACCATTTGAGAGCTAGCAGAGAGATCTTTAGTATGCAAGGCAGTATGCAATATACATTCCTTTAGGGAATTATTATTTCTTTTTCACTTTGCATCTTGTTCCATTTTTTTAAATTTTTTTTGGACACATGGTTGTGTCAAGTTCTTGGCATAATTTCCAAACAATAATTTTTTCAAGCCACATTTATAACGAGCTATCTGGTACATAAAATGTGTGATGCCTTTGCTCCAAACAAAACATGATTTATGTTCCATTAATAGGGGCTTTCTTGTCTGTTCTAAAGGTGGCGGTACAGGCAGCCAGCAGACCATTCTCCATGAGGAGCAGTGGAAGATGCCGGCTCTGCCAGCACTGCTGCTGTCAATTTATGTCGTCGTCCTGCTGCTGACTATGGCACCACGCTCCTTCAGCCAGGCCAACACCCTTTCTGCTGTCCGGATGGGTGAGTATTGTGACAACAGTTCAAATCCCTTGTGTTTGTGGGCTGTGGAAAGAGCAAAATTCTAAAGTTTTTAACCTTCTTCTGCCAGAATATAATAGTTTGAGACCAAACATTTTATTCTCATTTATAATTTGATAAATCTGAGACACAAAAACTTGTACTGTATATTTAAGGAGAAGGTCAAAAACACGTGCCCACATATGCCAAATTACAAGAAGTCTTTGATATTTACCACTTACATAATGAGTTTGAAGAACAACCTTTAGCAGCTTGTCCATAAAACACTAGATACTCTAAGGTGATTACCGTAATATTTGCTGTATAAGTCGCACCTTTTTGCATAAAAGTCCTGCCACTTACACACCAAAGCGACTAATATACCCCCCATATGTATAACCTAATTTTTGGCTGAGATCTGCTGATTTCATTCATTCTGACATGGAAAATATTTGAACACTACCATTTTCAGCCCCTAGAGGGCCCTCGACCAATATGGCAAGCCAAGCATCTCATTAATAAGTACACTGTTTTCCGCCGTAAATGTCACATCAGTCGAAATATGTCTATTAAAGTGGAAAAATCCATAAATACGTTGCTTCATCGTATACGTCGTATAAGTCGCATCTATTATGCGTCACCGCTGACGCGCCGCGTTTGTAACACGTAACAGCTGACAACCCGAAAATGTTGTGCCAAAAATTGATTGGCTGCTAAATGGCGGCTGTGGGAGCGTGCAGAGGGAGGAAATCAGGAAGAAAGAATGCTGCACATTTCTTCAAAATTCAACAAGATAAGCACCTAATACAATTATTTGTTTGCTCGACATTATAGTAAAGGTGTGTCTCAGTGGAACTGTTACTTAATGAATGCACTTCAATGGTCAAATTAGTTTAATTTTGCCTGGGCGGCGCAGCAAAATGAAGCTGATTTGACGGTTGCTCAAGGTGAGCTGGACAAAGGTGGCAGACTATTGCAAGCCGATTATGTCAATAATAGCCATTTTTATCTGTTACATGACACAACGGCATGCCATATTACTTAAGGGCCAACTAGTGGCTGAAAATGGTTTTGTTCAATATTTCCAGTGTCAGAATGAATGAAAATGGTCATATCTCAGCCAAAAATTGCTTTATAAATTTATTTAAATTTAAATTTTGAATTAGAGGAACAAAGACCTACTGTTTAGGTGTTTAGGTGTGAACTGCTAATCTACATATGTGTGTGTCTCTTATCTCACTCAGCCTTATAACCTGAATCTCTCACTCTCTGCTCTTTGAATTGAGAAAGCTCCTCGGATGAGGAGCGAAACATCTTCTGTTACAAATAAAGTCCAGTTCTTTTTGAATTTATAAATTTGGGAAAAAATCCATAAATACGTTGCTTTGTCGTATAAGTCGCAGGGCATGAAAGTTATGCAAGTTATGCAAAATGCCGCAATTTATAGGCCGAAAAATTTGGTTAAAGTGGCTATTAATGAGATACTTGGCTTACCATATTAAGCCACCTTCATCTCGCTCCGGAACTCTTTGAGCAAACATCAAATCAGCTGCAATTTGCCTGGGCGGCGTGGCAAAATTTGACCATTAAAGTGCATTAAAGTGCATTTAAACAGGTCTCTCATGAAAATGAGTTCTCGTGGCTCAATGAGGCTACCTGTATAAATACAGGCTAAATGAAAAAAATATATTAGGGAAAAGTTCAACTGAGACACACCTTTGCAATAATATCAAACAAATAATTATTTTTAGTCGGTTATCTTGCTAAATTTTGACAAATTGCACAGCGAGTCCTCCCTCTGTGCACTCCCACAGCCGCAAATCAATTTATGAAATGAAGCTGATTTAACCATTAAAGTGTATTAATTAAGGAAACCTTCAACTGAAACACACCTTTGCTATAATGTCGAGCAAACAAATATTTGTTTTTAAGTGTTAATCTTGTTAAATTCTTGTTAAAGTCCTCCCGCGCACGCTCCCATAGCTGCCATTTGGCAGCCCATCAATTTTTGGCACAACACCGGTCCACCTTTCTGGGTGGTCAACGGTGACACATGACAAACGCGACGCATCAGCAGTGACACATTAGACGTGACTTATACGGCAAAATGACTTTTTGGGTTTTTTTTGCACTTTATTAGACATAATGGACTGATGCTACTTGTACAGCATTGCGACATGTGTGGTACTCGGACCCTTAACTTTTTGAAAACACAATGTGATTCAAATCCTCAACATCAGTGAGACAAAGGCTTCAAAATGTTTAAACTCAAATAATCTTTGCATACTGCTTACTTATAAAGTTCTGGTCCTAGAGACAATATTGGGTGCTTTCCGTCCATGTCCTGATTGTTCAGAGCTATTTGGTTGGAACGGGAGGTATTTTACTTGTTAATAAAGTACCAAATCATTGTCAGGTGTTGTCATACCTGCTTCAAAATAGTTTTATGTGGCAATGTCTGTTATGTCCTGAAGCGTTTCAGTCTTTAAGAACTCAAACATAAACTCAGTCATATTCTCCGTAGTAATCTGCTTCTGTTGTACTTGACTTTGACAGTTTTTTCTGATAAACTTACTCATATAATCCTCAATACCTTAGCCCACATTCTATAAAGCTACTTTGTTTTGCCTCTGGTGTATTTACCTAACCTTTTATCTCTTTCTCGTCTTACATTCACTTTCTGAAGACACTGTGGCGTGTTTTGCATTTTAATTCCTCTCAGACAATCTCTTTGCTTCGTTTGTGTATTTACAACCCCCCCGAGGCCACTCCCTTGCTATATCTGCAAACATCTATTTCTTCCTCCCACCTCATTTACTTTCTGTCCCGGGTTGGATTATTTGTAAGCGCAAACCAACTTCCACCAGAGCTGAATCAAAGAGAATCAGTGACTCCCCTCCGTTATTCACAGCAGAGCTTTTTCTGCAGCTCCCCAATCCAGACCTCTCACTTCCCATCCTTACGTCATCCTGAGAAAGACGATTAACATTTGTAAAAGCAAAGATTTAACGTCGGACCATCGCTAAAGACTATTTTTGTCTGTTCGTTACTTGACCTAAAGGCCCAAAGTTAGAAATAAATAAATAAATCCTGTCTCTTTTGACTTTCAGATCTTTAGAAAGACTGTCAGGCACTCACATACATGCTGCCATGGAAACCAGGTCGCCTGATGGTTTGTAATGGCTCACCTTTCACTCCTCCCTTAATAACGGCTGAGGGCTGCTGACTCACGCAGTTACATCTGACACATGCATACACAGACACAATGGGGCATACATTTCCTTTATGTCATTTCTTTTATGTCAGGAAAGTGGAGTTCCAGTACAAAAAAAAAAAGTCAAAGCTGCAAGTTGACCTTCAGAAATGATATAATGGGAAAAAAGACAGACTATCACTGTAAGCGGAAATTCAGTGACAGGGTGTTAAAAAGTTCAAAGTATAAATGCAGTAATTTTATACAGTATGTTGCCCTAAGGTCATGCGACTATGAAAATATTTTGAATTTTTTTTTTTTGAAGAAAACAGAAAAAAAAATCATGTTTTATTTGAATTTTTAGGATTCAGTCCATTTTTAGGGTTCTTTAAGGGTTTTCTTGCAGACAGAGTCAACACTCTAATATATTTTATTTATTTAATAACACTTTAATCATCCTTCCATTTTCTTTACCAGCTTTACCTTCCTGAGTCACAAGGATCTGGTGCCTCACCATGTGAAAGGCATCCACAAGTCCATCACAGTGCCACATCGTGACAAAAGAGACAATCACCCACACATATTGACAATTCAGACTTACCATTTAACTAAATATGCATGTTTTTTTTTGTTTGTTTTGTTTGTTTGTTTGTGGGAGGAAACAGAAATACCCAGAAAAAACCCACATATGCACACGGAGAACATGCAAACTCCATACAGAAAGGGACTGAAGCCACATTCTCACTGAAAGGCAACAACCCTAACAGCTGTGCTGAACTGAAGTCATTTCCTTATATTATTTTTTAAATATATTTTTGGAAGTGAAAAAAGACATATCATCAGTCAGACTCTTAGTGTTTTACTTTCAGTCACAAAAAAGAAAAGAAAAAAAAATCACTTGAACTGATTTCAGGTGTGTGGATGTTTCCTTTCAGATCCATTTTTCTCACCTGGTGCTTGGAAATTCAATTTAATTCCACTTCAGTGCTCAAAGGGTTGACCAAAAATTCAAGGTTAATGACTCAGTGGGTGGAAAATGAAAGTGACTGTGTCCAAGTGTTTCAGTAATTGAAGGCTTCCTGTTGTGATGGGAAACTGCCAGTAGTCAAATGCCAGTTCAGTTTGTCCCGTGATGGATTCTGGAGGCCGTGTTTACCTGATGTTGTGGCCAGTAACCAAAAATTAGATCATAATCAGGAGGTGCTTGTATTCATGAGACCTTTACAGTTGCTGGGTTGCAGAACAAAAATAAAAAAAATGCACAGCGCTGTGATTTATTTTGCATTCATTCCTTAAGGTTTGCAAAACCCCTGTTTTCATGAATGTGGCCTAAAAGTCCCTAAAGTTACTTTTAAAATACTTCACTAAACAAGTATACATACATACATACATACATACATACATACATACATACATACATACA